TGTGCAGATGGCTGTTGTGATCTGTAAGTTTTTTCCCCTTTAAATAAAGAACACCCTATTAATCATAACTCCAAACTGGTGTGGCCTTGTTCGTGACTTACGCCTTCAGGGGAGAAGGAGGGAGGAGAAGAGGAAGGATATAAAAGGGAAAGGTGGAGAGGAGAAAGGATCAAGATCTACATTTACTAAGGTCTCCAGTCTCCAGGCAGCTCTTCTATAGTCACACTGAACTGAAGATTCAGGGTGACCAGGGTGCTTTACAGAAAAACAGGGAAGACAGACAGACAGACAAACAAACCAGCCACATATTTCTGGATTCCTAGTCCTTACCATTAAAGACTCTAACCTTAATTAGGCTGGGTTGCAACCTAACTTCACTGAGAATTTACCAAAGGCAGCTAAATTACTAAATGATGTTCACAAATACAGAAAGTAGCCTCTTTGATGAGTTTCACAGGCCAGAATTAGACAAAGATTAAGAGGTTCACATGAACGAAGTCAGCACACTTCCTCTGTGTGTTTTAATCCCTTGAGATATGCACTGAGTATCACAATTATTCAACCTTGTCATAAATATAAAACTCAAAAAAATGAGTAAAGCTATATTAGAATAAAACTTGACCTGAAAATAAATAAAAAAAAATAAAAGCAAGGGACTAGATTTGGCCTGTGCGCCATAGTGGCTCTAAGAGTGGCTTTCTAACTGGCTACTAGCTTCTCTGATGACACAGATCTAGAGTTGGAGCTGAGGCTCTGTAGGTCCAACAAGTTTACAGGAGATGCTGGTGACACTGATGCTGCTGGGCCAGGGACCAGCACTCGGGAGGCGGAGGAAGGCAGATCTCTGAGTTCAAGGCCAGCCTGGTCTTCAGAGCAAGCTCCAGGACAGACAGGGCTATTTTACAGAGAAATGCCAGCCTGGTCTACAGAGTGCGTTTCAGGACAGCCAGGGCTTCACAGACAAACCCTGTCTTGAAAAACAAAAAAATAAAGCAAACAAACAAACAAAGAATTCTGATATAGATGTCATAAATAAATGAAGACCAATTTACTATAGACATACAAATGTCACACATTAGATGTTTAAAACTGTGACAGACAGCTTTATATACAGAGGTTACCAACAATTCTCCCATGCCCGCAGAAGCACATCACTGTACAGCCAAGAGAATAAAGCCAACTTTATTCTCATATCTTGAATTTGACCTGGCTGTGACTGCAGCAGAAAAGGAAGCGGTTTGACTTCCAGACCTTGGTCTTAAGAAATGACAGGTGCTAGACACCCAGGCAACACCAGCCAGGCTTCACAGCAGACACGTGGACTCCTCTGGCCACAGACAAGCCACCCAGCCAGAGGCAGGAGCAGAGGCTAGCTGGCGGCTTCACCTGCTGACCAATAAACAAGAGTGTGTGTTTTTCTAAGGTGCCAAACACTGGCGTGGTGACCACACACAAGATATTGATGGTCATTTTGGGTTTCCTGCTGCTGAGCTCTCTTTGATGCTGCTGTGGCTTCCTCTGCTAACAGAGTTCAAACAGGGAGTCATCCTGCAAAGCTGTACCCCTTCATCCCTCCGTGTTTCCATCTCGAACTCACTACAGGTGCTGGCAGTGACTTCTCGCATTGACAGTGTACACAGCTCATTCCTCCGTGTCACTACCCTGGCCTGGATAATTCTATTAGAGTAAATTAATTGTTACGTCAGCTGTTACTTCTTGGTGTTTTTACCTGGCTTGTGATGATAGCTAACCCAAGCATTTTTTGATTTTTTGATTCTTTCTTATTTTTAGTTATTGAAAAAGTTACATAAGCAAATGAAACTAAATGTACATATTAAATCTTAGGAAGACTATAGGTTTATAGTCTCAAACTCTTTTTTGAAAATTTCACTTTCTAATAATACTAAACTGACCAAAGTGAGCTAATGTTTTTTTTTTCGTTACTAAATAATTCTTTACATTTCAACACAATTTATTTAAAACATCTTAATACAGAACTGTATACACATATATACAAACACTATTACCAACTTCTGGACCTTATGGTATGCATTACTGCATTTCAGAATTCATTTCATAATGTATTTCATAAGACCTGCTAAGCAGGTCTATCTGCACCACGTTGAACAACTTCCCATTAATTACACCCAGAAGACAAATACAGTAGCTCACTTTATCTCCCTCAACCTAAATCTTTTTATCTCAAAAGTTATTAAATAAATCAATGGTAACAAATGGATCATATAATACTTCAACTCCAAGTGACTATTGCATACTGAAAAGATATTTAGGGAAATAGATACATATATAGATATGTATGCTCTAAGCTTCTGCAACATAAGAAACAGTGATCTTCTGTGAGACTGGATCCAACACCAGAACAAGTGACCACTTATGTGATTACCAAGTATAAACTAAAGCCAAAATACCTCCTAGGACTGCAGAAATTAAATTATGAAATTAGACTATAGACTATATCAGGATGTTTTCAGGGACTAGGGAGATGGCTAAGTAGTTAAGAGCACTGTTTGCATCTCCAGAGAACTCAAGTTTGATTCCCAACACCCAAACAAACAGTGGTTCACAACCACCTTTAGCACCAGTTGTTCCAGGGGGTCTGGTGCCTTCTTCTGACCTCTGTGGGTACCAGGCATGCTCATACATGTAGACAAAACACTCATACACATGAAATACAAATAAAAATAAATGCGTCTTTTTTTTTGAGGCAGAGAGTTGCACCTGCCCATTTTTGAAACAGCTAACAACTCAAATAACACTGATATATAACTTCAGCCACAATAAGACCAGCCCAGTCCCCCGACTCCCAAAAACATTGCACAGAACTCAAAGTGGAAAAATAACTTTAATGAATGTTATTTTATGGTATTGAGTTTATTATGGGGGAATATCATTTTTCCGCAGTGGTGAAGCCATTGGGAAACTGTCCACGCTCCAGGAATAACCATGGCAGCCATGCTCAATGAGCACAGTAGGAAGAGACTTACTATGGAAATGAAGAAAGCGGACCCACTTCCCTTCTTCCCCGCCACACACACCTACGGTGGTTTTTATTTCCACCCCAATATAAGACCAAGCAAGTCATCTCATAAAAGACTGCCACTCAAGAGTGTCAACTGGGGGCTGGAGAGATGGCTCAGCGGTTAAGAGCACTGACTCCTCTTCCAGAGGACCCGGGTTCAATTCCCAGCACCCACATGGCAGCTCACAACTGTTTAAAGATCCAGTTCTAGGGGATCTGACACCTTCACATCAATGCACATAAGATAAAGTTAAATAAAAATAAAAAATGTTTAAAAAATTAAAACCATCATGGCATCACCTACTCACTGATACTTACTGTGTGAAAATTTATCATTTCTTGAAGACTGTCAGAAAACTTGGTCAAACTTGTCTGTAAGGAAGAAACCAAAGGAAAATCAAGTCACTTGCAAGCTACTAAAATAAGTCACAAAGATATTACTTAGCATGTAATCTGACAAAACTCAGGTTAGCCTGTAAACAATAACACTTACTTCCAAGGACAACCTCAATAACTCAAATGATCTGCAGAGGTCGTGTCCACCACAAGTCTACATGTGATAACATGCTAAGGCCTAGAAAAATCAAGGAATTGGTACTGCCCCATCCGCAAAATGCGATCCTAAAGGTTTGACAGCATCAGCAGAGTGCCTCTGTAAGCAACTCTGGATCACGTAATTATCACAACATACCTGTTTCTTCCCAGTCTCGTTTCCACCATGAAAGAAACATGAGTAGCACTACAGAGTACAACAAGGGATATGCGCTAACCCGGGGCCACAGGCCAGCCAGAAGCAATACAGCTCCAGGCACACAGTTGGGTTCTGTTCTGATCTGATGACCTGATTCTGCTCGTGACCCCTGCCTGCTTCAGCTCACCTGTGTGCACGCAAACCTCAAGTCTGTGAAGCGAGGGTAGGGCAGTGATGCTAAGTATGCACAACAAGAAATCAAACTTTAACACATTAATTACTACCTTAAAAAAACACAACTGTGGAACATGGCTCCGAGGAATGGCAGCCTTCTACTCTGGCTAAGTTCACTCTAACCATTAGTAGGTAGATTAATACATGATGATAATCTCATCACTTTACCTGTCATCTCAGTGATACCAACCTCGACAACGGCGTCATTGCTAGAATACTGTGCTAGGTCTCGGATCCCGTTCATGAACTGTTTATTGGCCACACAGAAGGCTTTGCCAGTGTCAATCATGGCGATACAGAGCTTCACGAGCTGGAAAAGAAAACAAAGTCGGAAAGGAAGTGAATGTAGATGGGCCTTAGTCGACCGTATTAGCAGTTACACATGAGTTAGCCTACTCGATACAAATCACATTTCATCAGTAAGTAGAGTAGTGAACGACATTCTCCTTTGCCTTAGAAGGTAAATTCACAGGAAGAGCAACAGCAAAAGGTCGACCTGTTAGGACCCTAATGGAGGAAGGTCATTGGTTAATTAATAAAGAAACTGCTTGGCCTCATAGGTTAAAACATAGGTGGGAGGAGTAAACAGAACAGAATGCTGGGAGGAAGAGGAAGTGAGCTCAGACTCGAAAGCTCTGCTCTCTGGAGCAGATGCGTGATGAAGATCCAACCCAGGATGGACATAGGCTAGAATCTTCCCAGTAAGCGCACCTTGGAGTGCTACACACATTATCAGAAATGGGCTAGTCCAGGTACGAGAGTTAGCCGAGAAGAGGCTAGATATACTGGGCCACGCGGTGTTTAAAAGAATACAATTTGTGTGTTGTTATTTCTGGGTATAAGCTAGCCAGGCGGCCAGGAGCCGGGTTGTGGGACGAGGCCCGCAGCTCCTACAGGACCCAAAGGCCATGTGACAACATACCATCCCTCTCCAGCATATCACATTCAAATCCATAATTTAAGCCCATAAGTATTTATTAAATCCTCCTAAAAGAGGAGCTAGGGAATGGAGCTCAGAGGTAGAGCACTCTCCTACACGTGAGTTCAGTTCATCGCGCGCGCGCACACACACACACATGTGTACACACACACACACGTACACCCTAGAAGAAAGAGAAAGTGTATGGGCAGCACTGTGATGAAAATATAGCTACACTTTTCAGCTGTGGTTACTGGAGAAAAGCACATAAACTGGCACTGTAAGTTAGCCACGCGGCTCAGGCTTGCCCCATCAGAGCAGACCTACAAAATGACTAACCAGCCTCACTGGCAACTACTGGGAAAAGAAGGGTTTCTCCAATGCCTGTGTTGGGCATCAGCCTTTCCCTGTTCCCTTCCTCCCTCCCTCCTCCATCTCTCATTGTATCTTCATTGTGATTCATCCACATGACATATGGGTGTGCTATATACATGCAGCATAATAAAATACCCAGAGAAGGCCAGTGCTGGGGTGTGGCTGAACTGTAGAGGTTACCTAGCATGCAACAGGCTCAAATCTAATCCCTAGCACCAAAAACAACAACAACCCTACAACAAGTGACAAATTAATAGCCTCCAAGGTATATTTTAAAAAATAATATTTTTACAAATACTAATATTTCAATAAAATACATGCATATTCTTTTGCATGCTTAGAAAATTTCCGCAAGAATTTGAAAGGCACTAAGTGGGTATACTCCTCCAGCAGAGGGGTCAGATGGTCAAAAGGCACTAGGTGGGTATACTCCTCCAGCAGAGGGGTCAGATGGTCAGCAGCTTTCACTGGGCACACTTCTCCTGCCTTTGAATTTTGTTCCACATAGGTAATGTTACTCAACAAATTGAATATCAAAAATAATTAAATTAAAAGGAAAGGCTAATAGTACAGCATGATTAAAACTGGATTTTCAGCTCAGTCTATTTAAACTCAAATCCTAATGGCATTTAAGTGGATCTAGGTGACCTTAGCCTTAACAAACTTGCAAGGCTCCCTGCATAATAATAACAATGGCACTAACCTACAGGAGACTTCTATCCAGAGCCACCACACAAAAATCCCAGCAGAGCCACCACAGGTGCATGGCAGCTACCCAGCAGAGGTCGGCTTCCCTGTCAGCAAGGTTCCTGGCTGCTACTTACTTCTGTTTTCACTTTATAAGAAACAACGAGAAGGCAGAGAAGGGAAAGTAGAGAGGCGACAGAGGGTTTGCGCAGAAAAAGAGATTTTCATTGCTGCAAAAGAACGTGCTGTTTCTAGACTAGGAGGAAGAAATAAAAACATTCCCACCAAGCAGTATGAGAGCACTGTGTCAGTCTTAGTGGTCAGCCACGCAGGGCCACAGTGGATGCACACAGGGCCACAGAGGAGGCAGCGAGAGATCTGTGATCTATGAAGAGCACTGTGCCAATCTTAACGGTAAGCCACGCAGGACCACAGAAGAAGCGACAATAGACCTGTGACCTGTGAAGAGCACTGCATCAGTCTCAGCAGTCAGCCACGCAGGGCCACAGCAGAGCCACACAGGGCGACAGCGAGGCCACGCAGGGCCACAGAGGAGGCAGTGAGAGACTTGCGATCTGTGAAGAGCACTACAATAGTCTCAGCAGTCAGAGGATGTCAGAGAGTGGTGGGCTAGCAGCACTCTAGAGCTCAGAGACTACAGCCAAACAGTGAGACTGTGGCCACAGACATCTGTGACACCATTAGCACAGCCACCACCACAGGAGAACAGGCGCAGAATCACACTGTAGTTGCCCAAGAGGAAGGGCTGGCTTGGTGATGTAGAAAGGGCAGAGATTTTGCCTATTAAATGGCAGTGATGGATAAAAATATAACTAAATAATAAAAAGCTAAAAACAGAGTTTTTGCATAGGTATAAATGTCAGCATGGTCTAAAGTGTCAGGCTGGTAGCCTAGCCTATTCGTCCAGCACCTTTTCACTAAAGGATTACTGTGTCACAGGCATTTGCCAGTTGATAGGAGCACAAACAACTCATTGCCTGGTAAGTGACCCCTCNAAACAGAGTTTTTGCATAGGTATAAATGTCAGCATGGTCTAAAGTGTCAGGCTGGTAGCCTAGCCTATTCGTCCAGCACCTTTTCACTAAAGGATTACTGTGTCACAGGCATTTGCCAGTTGATAGGAGCACAAACAACTCATTGCCTGGTAAGTGACCCCTCCCCTCCCCTCTCCTCTCCTCTCCTCTCCTCTCCTCTCCTCTCCTCTCCTCTCCTCTCCTCTCCCTTTTCCATGTTTAACAGGTGGAAATTGAGGAGAGATTTCACAGACAGGTACCAAGCACATCAAAGAAAAGATGCAGTAGACACATCTACTAGTAGATCAAATCTAGATGGCAACTGTGAGACGCCATGATGCTGCGAACACCAGAAAGCCTTCCAGAGTGCATACCTGGACCCATGAACATGACCACTCGGGCGGACTACACAAGCCAGAACCAACTACTGGTGGCATACAGCATATGCAAAATAACCATGCACTAAGTCACCAAACAAGTTTAGTCGGGCACTGGTATGATTTACAATGATATCATAAGCAGAACTTACCCTGCACGATGTTATGAAAGCTGGGAACTGAAGGCACCACCCCCAAAAGTTCCTCACGTTGCCATAGTTCCATAATCACCATCCCTTGTGTGCCTCATGGTCTACTCTAACATCCACAGCACCAAAAAGACAATAGCTCAAGAATCTGGACAGGTACGCTTATTTTATAGGGAATCACGATCTTACCCCAGAGAAACACAGAAAGTAACTGTGGAGCTTTGAGAAGAAAGGCAGGGGTCGGGGAACAATATTTTAAACACTATTAAGTTTCCACACACTCTGGGTCCCCTTTGGTTAAGAAAGACTCTAGGATTCCAGTATTTTGATCATTTAAGATTTGAAGGATCTTTGGGTTAAGTTTGACTGAATCGGAACCTGCATCGCCCCGCCAAAAGATGACTGGGTGATGCCTATGTACCACAGGGTCCGAAAAGACTGTTTTACATGGCAATACCATTTAATTGTCCAACCAAAATCATTGTCAGGAGAGGAATTTAATCTGTGCGCATGCCTATCTCCAGGAATCTGGAGAGATATCATCAAACAGCAGTTATGAAGGAAGTCTGAACAAATGGGTCAAAAGCCATGCAGTTCTCATTCAAATGCTTCTGCCTGGTACACAGCAGACAATGCTTCATGGACATACATCCAAAAACCATTGTCGGTAACAAGAGAAGATGGGAATCAGCGTATGCTTACCCTTATATAAGATATAACTGTATAATTGTTAAGTATTTTAAGTATTTCTAGAATTAGCTTAAAAGGGGAATGAACACTTAAAATTTTATTTGAATTTGATTTACATCTAGGATTTACAACTAAATTTACAACTAGGATCATAAGCTTATATATAAAAATCCATCAAGTATCAGAAATGACAAATGAGACATTCTGATGGAGAGAACAGTAACAAACTTCTAGCTAAAGGAACCTCTGTGGCTTCTGAAGTCAGATGTGAACACAAATCTTTGTTCTGACAATTGAACAGGCAAGCTACTGTCTGTCTCTAGGCTTCATTTCCTCTGGTGTCCAATCAGGAGGACAGCACCTACTCAAACAGAGATCCCAGTGACATAAACCAACTCCAAGTGAGGGCACTACCCATTCACTAGGAAAAATAAAGAACGAATGTTTTTCAAAGTTTACCTTATCGAGTTTTAGTTCCAGCTCCGCCACATCTCCCTCTACTTCTTCCAAAGCAGCCCTAGGAAAATTGAATATAAAGTCAGCTAGTTTATTTCTTTAAAGGTATACTTTACTTTTGAAAAATAATTTTCCATTCTAAGTGAAGACATAGATATGAATATCCTTTATGTAAATTTAATGATTATGCAATGCCACAGATAATAGGCTAGGCCAACAAGAAAATACATTAGGCAAACTTATTTTAACATTTATTTTTAATTACATGTAGTTATGTATGTCTGCATGTGGTTTTGTACACATACACACAAGCGCCCACAGAGGCCAGTGGTGTCAGATCCCCGGAAGTAGAAGTTGGGACAGTTGAGGCTTCTGATGCCGTGAAGGTAACCAAACCCAGGTCCTCCAGAAGAGGAGCAAGTGGTCTTAATGCCAAGCCATCTTACTGTCCCCAGGCTAACTTACATTTAATCACTAATATGATTCAAATTAATAACAGTATTCTGAACTGTTTGTTTTAAAAAAAAATGAGTTAGGGTATGTAAGCAAGATACCAGAAACTACAGAAAGGACACATTAATCAAATAAAATCATCCAAACGCCTACTTTCAAAAAGAAAAATAGAGGAAAACATTTTAATAGTTGGGCCTTAACTGACTCTGATTTGTAGACAGTGAAGTATATGGACCAAAGAGCAATGCACTAATAGTCAAAGGGGCTTTTACTATGAGAAATAGCTCATAAAGATCACTTTTCTCCTGTCGATATAATTTTAATATAGGAAAATCAGCAAAGATTAGGTCGCACAAAAAGAAGAAAGTAAGCAGTGAGCCAGATGCTCTTAACGACAAAGAGAAAGCCGCTGAGGCCACAAGGCCACATGCCAAATGAAGCAGCTGCAATTAGAACGTGTTAAGGGTACGATTTTACACTAAAAATGGTGTGTAATAAAACACAAGTTACACGTGTTCTCTGTGTGTGCTGGCCACAGGATCCCAACCCTTAGACATGCCGACTTTCCACCGCAGAGCCAACCATACTCCCCACGCCATTTCCGTATACCTACTGATGTTCTAGCCATATTCCAACAGTTATTTTAAGAACTAATCAAATTTTGCTTTAATTGGATATTAATGGGAGACTTGCTTCTTCTCAAGCAGTGGACCAAACAAAAAACAGCCAGGATATAAACCCTATTTCCTATTTCCATAAATACCTTGGGTGACCTTTGAATAAATAATTTATCAGTTCCATCTAAGGACACACATTTTTAAAGCTTCCAAATCTCCAAGATTTAAAATCCTGTTAGTTATTCAGTAAGCATGCGCCATTGTAACTGAGATCCTCTTGCATATGCTTCAAGAACACAGGAGGCGGCAAACCCACAGCACAGAAGCCAGAATGCTGCTTCCTGGCCCACAAGCTGGCCGCGGTCTTCAAGTGTTGTTCTAAGTACACATTGTTCCCTCAGCTGGGAAATACAATCCTCACCTATCCATCATTTAAACTCACCGCACACCTGAGCCAAATAAACCCATCTCTATAAGGAGACTGCAACTGACTTAAAACTAAGATGTCCAACAGCCAGAAAAATCTAGATAACTGATAGCCTCTTCTCTTTAGGGAAGGGAGCAAGTTCTTAAAAGAGGCTGCAAGGCATGCTGGGAATCCCAGCACTCAGAAAGCAGAGGTGGGAAGAGGCTTAAGCCTAGGAGTTCTAAGCCCTGAGACACCTCATCTCAAAATAAATAAACAAATGAAGTCCATCTTACTGACAGGGAAATATGTGCATGAGATTAAATTATTACACAGAGGAAGAAGAAAATCACACAATTAGGATAATGTTAATTCCAAAAAAGCCCTGTTGAAACCCAGACTGGTAAATGTGCCGGGAACTATATTATGCAGAAGAGCGGGGATTGGAGAACAGGCATTGTAGAGAAGGATTTGCATTCTAAGTGTACCTCTGGATAAGTTCAGCATTTTCAACAGTGGTACATTTATTCAGACAACTCCCCAAGAAGTGGCTTCCTTTGGGACTTGTCCCTCCTCGCTCTACTGCACGACAAAGGCCCCTGAGTTCCCAGCACACATGGTGCACACCTCTGCCACTGTCACTTCTCTGACTGACAGTCTGAGCTGTCCCCAGCAGCGCAGACACTCAGAGATCTGCAGAGTCCAGGAGCAAGCACATTAGCTCTGACTTTCAGGAACTTCGTTTACACTTGAACCTTTTACCTTAACTCAATTTTCAAATTATTATTTGTTAAAATGAGCAACATTAGATTTACTTAAATCACTAGTCTCTTCTAAACATATACTTACAGACTGATGAGATTTTATATATTATTCAATCTTATTTCGCTGATAATACATTCCTCTATCAAATGCACAGACATGTTAAGGCTGGTGCTGGCCGAGTGTTCTGTAGTCCCAGCTGCTGAGAGTGAGACAGGAAAGTAGAGCCCAGGAGTCCATATCAGCAGGGTAACAGAGCAAGACCATTAAAATAAAATATAAATAAATAAACATGTCAAGGGGGCGAGGAAGGCTGTAAGGACTGACCCAGTCATCAGCCACAGTGTGACAAACGCCAGCAGCTTCTCCTCTTTACTCCACCCTGTGTCTTCAGCTGAGTTCTGGTTCTTTTCTCACTAATGTAAAGGAACCATAATAAATCATGTACTTGAAAAAATAATAAGCAAATCTATACAGCCTTCCTTATCATTCCTCTGTAACTTTCCCAGATACTACTAAATATTAAACATTTTTAAGTGCAAGTCATTAAAAAGGTCAAAATTTAAGGCTCCATTTCTTCCATAGCTTAAAATTTAATGTTAAAAAAAAATTCAAGGTGGTGGTGGGGATGGCTCATTGGGAAAGCAGTTGCTTTGAATGCTTAAACGCCGGAATTTGATCCCCAGAGCCCACATAAAAATGCCAGGAGTGATGTAACCCCAGCATGGGTAGGTGTGGGGACTCACTGGGCAGCCAGAGAGAAAGTCTATCTCCCAAGGTGGGGGGGGAACAGCTTTCCTGGGGGTGACACCCAACACCACCCTCCAGCCTACACGCACAAACACATGCACAAGCAAATACATGTGCATGCATATGTTCCTACACACATGACCACACACGCTCCCACATACACATCCTCCCACTTTGTAAAACAATCAAACTTGGTCTGTAGCTCAGGGTTAGAGTGCTGTTTGCTAGGAAGTGCAAGTAAGGACCCTGGGTTCCATCCCAGTTTGTTTGTTTTGTTTTGTTTTTTTTTTTAACAAGCCCCCCCCCCCCCCCCGATTTTATTGTCAGGTGTTAAAGTTGCTGGGTTTGGGAAGCAATGTGGATTGAACTAAGGGCCTGTGCATGCCGGCATTTCACCACCAAGCTACATTCTCGGCCTCTACAGATGTTAAATGGAAAAGAAAAGGGCAAGGAGAGAAAAATCACAGAGGTCAGGTAAGCCTGGGTCATAGCTAGCTCCATAAAGCCAAGGAGCCCAAACGGCTTTTACACTGCTATTATATATATATTTCCTCAGTGTGTCTGTGTGTGTAAAGTTGGTCATGGTGACACACCTATAAGCCCAGCACTCAGGAGGCTGAGACAGCACCTCAAAATCAAGGTCAACCTGGCTGCTTGCTTTTTTTCTTTTAAGGCAAAGCAAAAACACCCTTCACTTCAACTCCGGCAATATCCTTACAATGGATTAGTCAAACTAGGTCACACAATTATGCAATGAAAAGTGCAGGAACAAGATATGCAAGATCACTAATAAGCACACAAATGTCCTCCGGCAGTTAAAGGCAGACTGGAGACTCCAAGCCTTGACTACCTGCTAGGAAGATATCAAATATAAAGTAATGATAAATACTCAAAACACTGTACAGGGTTGGGAGGAAGCTCATTAATAAAGTACTTCACTATCATGAGCAAGGCCCTGGATGGGATCCCAACACCACCCACAAAAACACTCACACATGTATGTCTGTGTACGCATGCATATAATGTACGGATTTTGAAACTAACATTTGTAGCTCTTGTTTGGTAGAATATCTCTATTGCAATAAAAGACATACATGAGTATTTATACTCTAAAGAACTACTGTGTGCCACGGTTAAATGACACCCCCCAGCCAACTTCCTCTTTGAGAGCAACAGTCCTTTCCAACTTGAGCAATACTGGCCTATTCTCTGCAAAGAAAGGACAATGGCCGGATCAAGGACTGATCCAAAGGCAGCCCCATGGCTAACGGCAAAAAAGAGTGACACAAAGCCCCCCCAGCAAGACACAGCTCCCCATGACAATGAGCATAAACCCTGGAAAGCCATTTCTTAAAAAGAAATTTCTCACTAAAGCATTCCTATCATGATTCCTATCCAGATCCACTATAGCAAAGCTCTGTGAAGTCTCTATAGTGAGAGACCGGGGAATGGGGTTTTTATAGACGCAGACTTTGTAACCGACTAGCTATATGAACCATTCCATCTATAAAACACAGACCACAAGGTCTACCATAGAAAATGCGACCCATTTTGAAGACTTTGTGAAAACTTTAGTAGCTGGTGACGACACCTACACAGCAGAGCTGAGTACACAGCCGAGGTCTCCCAACCTCAGGCCAAGGACTCTGACATGACGATTTGGCATTCAGAACCCCTCAGAGCTGAGCAAACACAGGAAAACCCACACTGAAGTCAGAACAAAAGCAAGGCAGGACTCGGCGCACGAGATCAATCCCCAGGCACTACAAATCATAGAGTTGCCGTGAAACTTTCGTTTAAGTCCCAATGAATGGAATGAAAAGGTCTGCCTTCCCCAATTATCTTAGGAACGTAACTACTCTTATTTCCTCCGACTGGAACCAACCAACATGCAGGCTCCACGAGAAACTCTAAAATGAGAAAGAAAAAATGAAGTAAAAGCTATGTCAACAAATATGAACCCCTACAGAATATTGAAGCTCCTAAGTCTCCACTCCATCACCCATAAAAGCTTCAGATCAGCCTTGATGCGCCTGCAGTATTATTCTAAGACCTAACGTTCTGTTACAACAG